TTTTATTTGTTATAAATATTTTCGTATGAACCGAGAGCATTGCCACGTACAAATGACTCATAATTTGAGTTGGTAATAGGTCTTTTGCTAGAACTAAAGGTTAACAGAAATTACCTGTAAATGCTCTATAATTACATATTGTTACTTGTTAAAAAAAATTACAAATTTTCGGAACAGATATTGGATGCATCTCTTAGTCTATGAATAGCAGCATAAGATTATTGGCCGCTCTAATTTTTTACACTAAAAGATAAATTATGACACTTAAGTCCATAGTACTTCACTAATTTATGAATAATATGTATGCCCAGCTTAAAAAGATTATATGAATATGGACCATATATACAATACATACATATGTATGGATTTGATGAATACTACTTTTAGGCAGGCTATGCTTAAAGTTTTAAATTTATAGCCAAACATATAATTGATTGAGTAAAAAAACTTAATAGTGATTATTTTAAAAACTATACAATTTCAAATTGTTAATCCCCTTTTATTTTTAGATATTTTTGTGGATTTTTTTTTTGTTTATCTATTAAAATCTGTTAGTACTGATAATGGGAGATAAGATAAAAACTTATCTAATATGTTGAATTTGAGTATTTTTTCATTTTTATTTGAAAGGAAGAGCTGCCATACTGAAAAATCCATTAATATTTATATTATAAAAAAGTGGAATTGAATATATTCCATAGATAATGGAATTATATGTATGTTTTTATTTAATTTCCTTGGTTTTATAAAATGGGGAAAGTTGAGAAATTCGCACCCCTGCCAATCCCATGAGGTCAAAAGTCAGGACTGAACTCAACAACACGTCCTCAACAAGGGGTTTTTCAAACTTCATAACACGACATCTCGAAAATCTGATGTGATTGATACATTTTGAGGCTATATTCCGATTCAGCGCTACTAAAGCATTTATTGTCCCGTCCAATCGATTCAAAGTACTAGTTATAGAACTAGTTCTGCATCAGTTCTCTTCACTTTCAGATTATTGCACTTTCAAGCTACTTGAGAATTGGAAAATGTTCAATGGCGTGGCAACACTCACATTTATCTATAAAAAAGACAAACACAAATACATACAATACACTGACACACTTTTTTAATAAGAAGAAAATATAAACTAAATAGTACTCATTACTAGACTGACTCTCGTTTGATAACACGTTCGGTCGTTCAGTGTACAAACGTACACTTAAATTTATATATTCAGTTTTTTTATTATTATTTTCTTTAATATTTATTTAATATAACACTAAAGTAGTTTAATAAAACGGTATTTAGTCTTAAAGTATTACTCAATACGCATAGAGCTAAACGGGTTCGAAATAAAGTTTGAAACGAACGAACGATTTTAAAAGAAAAATTGTGGAAATTTTAAAATTTAAGTTACAAAAAGTGAACTAAACTATTATTATGGATAAATCACAACCGCCACCATATTCACCACCCGGTTTTACACCAGCTCAGGTCTACCAGCCCGGTCAGCCACAACAACCCTTATATCCACCTATGCCACAGCCACAACCGCTACCACAGCAATCTACTGTTATCATACAGACAACAACACGACCAAATCTAGTGGCCATTGGTAATGGACCTACACATATCCAGTGTCCATCATGTCATGCTGAAATTTTAACAACTGTCAAACATACTGCCAATTCAAGAACACATTGCTGGGCCCTGGTTTTATGTCTGTTTATGTGAGTAGTTCTATAATGATTCTATATAGATTTAGTGAAGTGATAAACAATTCCGGGAAATTTAATTAGTTCTTAAAAAAACATAAGTTTATATGAAATCAGATATGAAATTTGTATACAACTGTACGAATCGTATCTACCCTGCAGCGAATGGTCTCCGATTTCTCTTCTAAATTTTGTCTCTTTAGTTTAAGGTCTTTAAATGTTAATTAATATTTTATGACTTTTGGCGGGTTCAAAATATTCTTGTAATTTTTTGATACAGTAGATATCGGTGTAAAATTTGAGCTTTCTAAGTCTCTTTTCATTAGCATTGCAAAATCGTCTAAGAATGTTTGCTTTTCTTAACCAAACATTTCAAACGAACAGTATTTTTGAGAAATTGCCGCTCTAATTACTTCGCTTGAGTCCCTATCGGTTTGTCATAACTAAGTTCAACTTACTTATATACTTTTCTTAGTCTACGACCTATATTTCTTCATTTCCCTTACAAACTGAGTGACAAAATTAGTAACTCTTTGGAGGGTATGAACATTTTTAGTATAAATAGAGTTATAACTTAGCGATAAGATATAACTCGGTGTCACTTGTTATTTAGCTTCCAAATTTACGAACGAATAGCAACAACAACCAACACCAGCCAAAAAGTAAATATCATAAAATACTTGAAGCACTTAACACAGAAAAAGTATAATATTTTGTTATTAGAAATCTAAAAAAAAAAATGATAATTATAATCAAACCATAAAACGGTGTTGAATACCTTTTTGCTTTTGCACAGTGGGTTTGATAAAAGTTACAAACTTCCACAGTGGGGTGGCATATCATTACTACTTAAAATGCATTTTCAAATTTAAGAACAAAAAGTAAGATTATATTTTCATAAGCAAAACTTCGGAAGTTGGTCCATTATATGGAATTAGATCTTTACATAACGATGTTTTCGGGAATTATTAAACTAAGAAAAAAGCCCATGAATATAATTTTTATCATTTAATTAATGAAATTTTTTATTGTTTACCAGCTAACGCAGCCCTTCATTGTAATAATGAAGAATATTTCATTGATTATATGAATTTGTTTTTCGACTTCTCTGTGAAACTATTTCATTGCTAAAATGAAATTGGTTATTGATTCAAAGAAAATATTTCATATATATATTTTATCGTATACAATATAGTCAAATGTTGGCCCTATCACTAAAGCCAATAATGTATTATTTACGAAAACACGTTTTTCAGAAACCTCATGCACAAAATAAATTTCCTAAAATCGGTTATTTTTAAAACATAAAATATTTGTTTTTTTATCGAAATTGCGAAATTTTTTAGATGAGGAGCTTTAAGGAGGAATCACTGAGAAAGAGATTAGCCTTAAACATATACATATTTACGATTTTTTAAATTAAGTTCCGGGAGGACTAATCATTGTCTGAAGTAGTCCATCTTTAATACCAGACAACCAGGCAAATTTTATTTATAAAGAAAGTTTCTGTAAAATATTAGACCTATAGCTCCCACCTGAACACTAGAGTGCTGGCAATAAGGCGACGGGCAGACATGGCTCGATAGTCAGCCATTTTTAAAGGGAACTAATCATCAGATAATGTTTTTTTTTGATTCAGATTGGACCGATTCTCACGGAACTTTTGTATACAAATTTCCTCATTTATTATACTTTGCTGTTACAAGATCTATATACTATATACAAAATAGGTATGTACATATATGGCATTTTGACTTGCTTTTAGAACAGGCTCACTATAGGCATATAGGATCGTGTTAATTCTGGAACGATAGAACAATGATTTTCCTGTAAAAATCATGTATATGAGATTTCATTCTAATAGCGATATTTTAAAGCGTTTTATTCATATGATTTTCTAAAGGTGCGTTTATAGAGGTCCAATATGGATCAATTTCGAAGAGATACTTAGGTATAAAACTTATTTGTGCTGATTTCAATCCGATAGTAGTATTGTGCTGATTTCAATCCGATACCAGTATTTATCTTTATAAACTTAAGAATAACTTCTGAGTGGGACCACATACAAGTGGGCTAGAGCCAAATGTAAATTAATTTTTCACTTATAAAGCACAAAACCCAGGGAACCTTAGTATGACAACACCAAAAGCCTTCATCATTGGTCAAATTATGATTTTATAACACCCATTATTTCTGGGTACATAATACCCCTCATCTTTAGTGACGTAGGGTATAAAAGAGTACTTTAGATATTGCTTAGTGACGTACATGTTTAAATAAAATATTTAGATAAATCGACACATGATAATATGTATACAATTGAAGGTATTCCGTCCGGTCGTATGCGTCTTGTTTTTATTTATTTAACATCATTATTATAATTTGTTATTGTTGTTATTTCACAATAACACATAAGAAGTTGTTGTTTTTGTAACTCATGATAAACGCCCAGACAATTACATATCATTACACTTTAAATGACTAGGAGGGCCAACGTTTTAAGAAACTAAACATAAAATAAATGGATGACAAAATATTTCAAATTTCTATTTCCAATTTCTTTTCAATACTTCGGATACCATTATCCATTTTCCTTAGCAACCAACTATAAGACTAGCTTCTTATTAGACCCTTTTTACTCTAGGTTCTATAAAACTAATTAATCAAGAATTTAAATCAAAATGCTTTAAAATAAACAACAAGTAAATACTGAAAAATCTTTTAAATCTTCTATAAATACTGATACTTAATCAAAGTGAATCCCCCTTTTAAAGTCTATTTGACAAGAAAGAAAATTAAAAGCACCCAGCAACCGAAAGGTTTGACGTCACTGTTTAACACTGACGAATGTAAATGTTAAGTGTGAACTGTCTATGAGTGTTTAAAATTGAACTGAAAAAACAATGATGATGACTCAATTTATTTACTTTAATTTTTTTATAAACAAACAACAATTCTATAGAAATTTAATTAATTATATTGCAAGAAAATATACAACAGTTTACAAAGTCTGTTTTTAATGTAATATAATTAATCAGATAGGCAATTCGAAGACCTCCAACTATAAATGTAATGCTTATACCCTACATTAGTTAGTTAGGTAGGTAGGTAGGTAGGTAGTTAGTTAGTTAGTTAGTTATTTAGTAGTTAGTTAGTTAGTTAGTTAGTTAGTTAGTTAGTTAGTTAGTTAGTTAGTTAGTTAGTTAGTTAGTTAGTTAGTTAGTTAGTTAGTTAGTTAGTTAGTTAGTTAGTTAGTTAGTTAGTTAGTTAGTTAGTTAGTTAGTTAGTTAGTTAGTTAGTTAGTTAGTTAGTTAGTAGTTAGTTAGTTAGTTAGTTAGTTAGTTAGTTAGTAGTTAGTTAGTTAGTTCTTTTAATTTATTTTATTTTATTTTAATTTTCATAAACTAATAACTTCAAAATTCCCTTTTATTTTCAGTTGCTGGCTTGCGTTTGTGTACCCTACTGTATGGATTCCTGCCAAAGTGCCAATCATTATTGCCCCAATTGTAATGCCTACATTGGAACCTACGATAACTAATATTTATTTTATGATTTTTTTAAAAGCTTTGATCCTTATTATTATTTTATTAGTATTTAATATAAATTATTTGTAATTTATATGTTCTTTTTTCCTTAATGTTAATTTTTTAATACAAAAATAAGCTTATGCCAAAAAATATGTAAAAATAATAAATTAACAACGAAATAAATTTTATTTCAAACAATTGACGAAACGAATTAAAATATTTAATCAATCATGGAACAATTCTTAAATCTTAATCATATATATATTTTTAGATAACGTGACCTAAAGTTTTAAGAAATCCCGGTCCTTGGCTATATTTGAGATATTTCAGCATTACTTAGATACCTTCATTTAAATCCAATCTCTCGACTTTTTAAAAAGGTTTAACCTCTCCGATATATTCTTACTTCTTTAAGAGATATTTAATAAGTTATATTCGCGCTCTTATCGCGTCTCAAATATGGCTAAAATTGTTGTTTTTTACATCAGATTTGGGTTCATGGCTTCTCAGTTCTTTAGAAAGTATACTTGAGTCTCTGAATTGACTCAAGCACCCATAGAGCGTGCCTTACAAAATCCAGTGTAATGATTATAGGTATTGTATTAATATCGATTTTTGATAAATTACTTTAGAACTAACTCATAACTGCCCAGATCTGCAATATTGTACCACCGCCTATACTTTTTCGCTCTTGTTTTTCGCAAAATAGAACAAGCAAAAAATTAAAGAGAATCATCTTACAATAATATCAGCATTCAAGAATGCAGACAATACGATAATATATATTAAGACTGATGAAAAAAATGTAAACATCTTTAGTTCATTATGCTGAAAGTGCAGATTTAAACAAAAGTAGAATTTAAAACATTTATTGAAGATACCACCATAACGATTGCTTTCTCAGAAGAGGAATTAAGTTTCAATAGAGTTCTAAATAATAGAAAACAAATCAAGAAGTAACAATTAAGGGTTCTCATACAAATTCTTAAGTTTTCGATTGTCATATTTCGGGAAACTATAGAGGTGAAATGCTGTTTGAAGTATACTTCAAACAGTATTTCACCTCCTTCAACCTAAATCATTAGTATTCAGTTTGATATAGAACTAAGGGCCTTTTTTATATTAAATAGTTTTTTATTTATTTATATTTTTCTTTACTCATATACGTCGATAAGTGATTATTTTCTAAAAATAATTCCATCATCAGCCATTTTCATTCTCTATTCCGCGCTAACATTTCTCTTTATAAATTGTATTTTCGGTTCATTGAGAAAACGCAAGCTCACTTGATTGATAAATATCAGTTCATCATACGGAAAGTCGGTGCTAAATTCAAAATCTCTAACCAGATTTAAAACCAAAACTTTTAAAGCTATAAGAGCATAACGCCAACCTAAAAATTAAGAAAAATTATTAAAATATATAAAAGAAAGACAAATAGATCCTTACCTATACAATTACGCACCCCCTTTGAAAAGGGTATATAAGCATAAGGATGACGTTTCTCTATATTTTCCGGTAAGAAATTGTCGGGATTAAATAGATCAGCTTTAGCACCCCAAAGATCTTGACGTCGATGTAAATGAAAGATAGAAATTAAGATTTGAAAACCTTTAGGCAGTTTAATAGCATCGGTTAAGTGGCAACTTTCCAAAGATTCACGACCTATTAAAGGTATAGGAGGCATTAAGCGTAAAGTTTCATCGATAACCATATTTAGATAGGCCATTTGATCCAAGTCTTTATAATCTATATTCTTAGAATCTGCCATAATTTCAAATACTTCCTGATAAAGTTTCTGCTGAACATCTTTGTGCATGGCCAACATTATAATAATAGAGTATAAGGTGGTAGAAACGGTTTCAAAAGACTTTAAGGGGGCATTAAAAGAAAATAAAGTTTTGAATCGATTAATAAAGAACTTACCCCAATAATCATGGTATAGGTTTCGGTTATCACATCATCTATAGCAAATATTTTTGCTGTTGATATTTTATAGCACGATCTAAAAAGTATTTATCCTCATTTTTAATTGTAGAGCCCATTTTACGCTTAATTAACTGAAATTGAATTAAGAATCGAAAACGGTTCCAGTTTTAATATTATTTTACTTACATTTTTCATATAGCCTTTTAAATTATCGATGATGATTTGATAATATGTAGATGTTCTTATTAGAAATGAAAGTTTTACAAAAGATAATGTTGTGCCAACGACCATTTTCCCCAATAATCTAGGATTTATAAAGGAATTGTTTTCTTAAATAATGA